GCGGATACCTAAATCTAATCGTCATAAACAGCTTTCACACTCCGGGCAGCTCTCCTTGACTACTATCTTCACCACTTCCTACGTCGCAGACCCGTTTTCCTCCCTTTTGATAGCATTTTAGGAATGCAGATACCTTAATCTAATTGTCATAAACAGTTTCCACACTCCGGACAGCTAGCCTTGACTACTTCCTTCACCACTTCCTACGTCGCGGACCCGTTTTCCTGCCTTCCCATAGAATTTTAGGAATGCAGATACCTTAATCTAATCGTCATAAACAGTTTCCACACTCCGGACAGCTCTCCTTGACTACTTCCTTTACCAATTCCTACGTCGTGGACTCGTTTTCCTCCCTTCCAATAGCATTTTAGGAATGCAGATACCTTAATCTAATTGTCATAAACAGTTTCCACACTCCGGACAGCTAGCCTTGACTACTTCCTTCACCACTTCCTACGTCGCGGACCCGTTTTCCTGCCTTCCCATAGAATTTTAGGAATGCAGATACCTTAATCTAATCGTCATAAACAGTTTCCACACTCCGGACAGCTCACCTTTACTACTTCCTTCACCACTTCCTACGTCACGGACCTGTTTCCCTCCCTTCCCATAGAATTTTAAAAATGCAGATACCTAAATCTAATCGCCATAAACAGTTTTCACACTCCGGGCAGCTCTCCTTGACTACTTCCTTCACCACTTCCTACGTCGCGGACCCGTTTTCCTGCCTTCTCATAGAATTTTAGGAATGCAGATACCTCAATCTTATCGTCATAAACAGTTTCCACACTCCGGACTGCTAGCCTTGACTACTTCCTTCACCACTTCCTACGTCGCGGACCCGTTTTCCTCCATTCCCATAGAAATTTAGGAATGCAGATACCTTAATCTAATCGTCATAAACAGTTTCCACACTCCGGACAGCTCACCTTTACTACTTCCCTCACCACTTCCTACGTCACGGACCTGTTTCCCTCCCTTTCCATAGCATTTTTGGATTGCAGATACCTTAATCTAATCGTCATAAACAGTTCCCACACTCCGAACAACTCGCCTTCACTACTTCCTTCACTACTTCCTACGTCGCGGACCCGTTTTCCTGCCTTCCCATAGAATTTTAGGAATGCAGATACCTTAATCTAATCGTCATAAACAGTTCCACACTCCGGACAGCTCACCTTTACTTCTTCCTTCACCAATTCCTACGTCACGAACCTCAAGCTAGTGTCGTCATTTGATTATATTTATGATGCATACCGTTTCTGTTCTAATATCTGTGAATTAATGCTATCAGCTATTTCTTTATCTACTGCATTCAAAAGTCAACAGCTGATCACATGTTTTTGTTTATGTGTCAAATACTGCTTCCATAAGAATTACATTGAAACTTTGAGACCCAGTGGGGCGGATTCCTGAGAGACTTTTTTAACGCCATATAGATGTTGGCACTCACCGATATGGTCTTTATCACCATGCAAAATTTGAAAACGATTGATTCAGCCGTCTAGGAGGAGTTTGCGTATTACGAAATGCATAAGAGTCGACGTATAAGAGCTTCGCTCGCTCCGCTCAATTATCAACAATTCGCAAAATATCACAAATTATTCATGAGATGAAAAACATAAACATAACTGTAAACAATCCTACTTTGACAGTTCTCATTGCGAATCACAGTTTTTTTTTTTTTTTTTTTTTTTTTTTTTTTTTTTTTTTTTGCTGCTTAGTTCAAATTAGCTGTTTTCATAAATGCAAAAAAATATAGTGCTGCACCCTGTTGATAAATCTTATAACTTTTTAATGCTTTTCCATATCAGAGAACCAACTTTTTTAGTTTAAACAGCTGACTAAATTCTTTAATTCCCTTTAAATATGAATACTTATAAGGGTAACATGGGGAATTACAGAGCCACTGGGGTGGAGCCCGAAAGGATTTTTGAGATAAGAATATGCCTATATGTTAATCGGGAATGTAAGCTATCATCATGCCAAATTTCAGCCCAATCCGTCCAGTGGTTAATGCGTGATTGAACTTGAAACACACAAACAAACAAACACACAAACTTTCACATTTATAGTATTAAGTAAGATATTACTAATCAAAAATTAAAAGCGGGTCAAGTAGGAGTTGTAACTGTCAGGTACACATCTACTCAACATCTGTCAAAACATTACCCTTCGCATGTTTATGGTAACAAAGCAACATCAGTCTCACTAATGTATACTTTATTACGCTACATGCTACTGCTACAATGTTACATACTGACTCCCAGTTTGTAAATGTAGATGCTGTTTGTGAACAGTTTGTCAGTTTAGTAGGGAGTGTTTCCCGTTATTGTTTCTAATATGAAAAAATAAGTTAAATTGTATTTGTTAAACCGATAAGTGAATTTAAATCAGTTTTCACCGTTAACAATGCCTTTGAAATTTTCTATCAAAAATTAACCTCCTAGCGAACAAGTTTTCAATCATTTTAAAGTTATCAATCATTACAAATGTAGAATACTGTATTCATCTAATAGACATTCGATGAATAATAAGGGTATATGAAAAATCTATGTACGCAAATGTTACCAGTAATTTGTTTTGGACCCAGAATCCTATTATTAGATTGTAAAACATTGCTAAACATTTAATTTAAATGGAATCACAGAAATCTACTGCTATAATTTTGATATCATAAAATTTATAGTAGTAATATTAGGAAAGCTGTTAAATAAAATTTTTCTAAAAGCAGTTGTAAGGAAACACATATTTAGTTGTCAAAAGCCCAAAACAAGGGTACAAATGTGGCTTAATCAAAAATACAAGTATAATTCAAGGACTTCATACATTTTTTTACTTTTTTAATGAAATGGCGACCATACAAAGTAGGCATTTTAAGCCAAGTATGAATGGAAATGAGTGTAGGATGAGTAGTGCGATCTTGCAGTCTTGTTAGTGACCAAGGCCGACGTATTCCTTAGACACAGATGTTAATTAATAGCCCATACATCTAATGGAAACTTAAGGACCAACAGTTTATAGTGGAATCTGAACACATTTTGCCTTGGTATTAACGAATTGGTCTTATTATCAGGATAGTACTGCGTATAGTCGTAGTACTCTCTATTGAGGACGTTAATCCACACCAGGGAGTATCGCATCCACAGTAAATGCCTAAAAATATCCACAATTCGTGACCTCCTAGTAGCTGGATTACAGGACGACGCCACCCGTCGACCCGTCCCAGTTATTATACCATTTATAAGACTGCCATTATTCTTAAGATCTGTTCTTAGATAACAGAACAGATATATGAAACACCAATGATATAAAGTAGGCTATTTTTATGTGTAGGAACAAACTATAATAAGTATGTAAGGCTACAAGTATGTATAAGCTTACAAATACAACATTTACTATGGGCTGTTGTTGTTGAAACAAACTTTTATTGTGCTTCCGGACCTTCCGGAGCCAACCTTATTAAGTTTGGAGGCATCTTGGTAGTATAATCTTTACATTCTATTTTTAGGTGTGAATTGACCATGAATTTATAATTGGATACGGTTGCAGTAATATTGTACGCATTACTTATTACAATAAATTGTAAGTTTATCAGCAAATTGTGAATGTTAAATATATATGTAAAATGTGTAATAACTGGTTTTTACTTATGTAACTAACTAATGCACAATATTATTGTATCACCGGGTACATTTGTATTTTTTGTGTATTTGAACGTGTATTTTACGAGTAGTAGATATGCATTATCTTTGTAAAAAATATTGTACTATTGGACACAAATAAAATGTGTTTGATGTTCCTTTGGTTAAGATCCATTCAAGCAATTCTGGCATTGCATTTTTTTATCATTTAATTTTTATTTTTATATTATTAAAGGTTAAAAATTATGATAATCGTTAAAACTCTATCTCAAATACGACGTGTCATCAACATGCCCGTTCGGATTATAGGATGACAACCAATGGTCGTAATGGATATATAGCATCAGTGATTGGTCGTATATAACCTGTGTATGTCTGCTCGTAAACATTTGAGGTATGTAAATTATGGTCAACCCTCTAATACATGTTCAGATCAAAAGTTAAGCGTGGATTGTGTGTTTTTTTCGCCTGTAAATCCACGAGCTGCATTTTTGTGTGAAAAAAGCACAATGCTTGTTTGCCATATGTATGTTTTTTGTGTGTTGTAATATGGGCAAAATAAAGTAACTATTGAAATTGGCCATAACTGGTCGAATTGATCTAGACGCCTAAGATTATAGCAAATCACTTCTCGGTATTTTCCATATTGGCCTACTCTGAAATTCGTTACTAATTTTGCTAAAGGCAGTTTTCCTAATAGTCTTAACTAAGCTAAAAACAACCCGACAATCGAACGAAACCTATACACTTCAATGAGATAATTATTTTAGTTAAAGCTAAGTTGTTCAAGTTGTTCGACTACACGTGGTTGAAAGCCATCCAATCCTGTTATCACTTCTCGCAGGCCTACTTCGACATTTGCATCTCTTACCTTCAGCAGGAGGTATTTGCATAAACTCTAGTCTCGGGAACGTCTCATGACATGGATTAAATGTAGTGTTACAGTGTTTAACTTCCGTTCTGAAAAACGATCTTTCCTCTACAATTCCATGTAAATATATATAATGAAGCTTAGACCATACTATTCAAGTATAAGAAGTTGTAGATTATATGGTTGATAGCTTAAGGAGTCTTTAAGAGGGCTATGACTCATTCAAGCAAATTTTGTAAGTATATAAGGTATGAAAAACCGTGTAAAGAATATATTACGAGACTACAGTACTGTATTATAAAATCAACTGTAAGAGGTATTTTCTGCAGGTCTATCGTAGAAGATGGTATGTTTCAGAAATGTATATAAAAAAATATAATATCAATTGATCTGTTAAATGAAAAAATAAAATAAAACAGCTTGCTACAAAGATGAACAAGACAAAAGCTTTGGTTTTGAGCTTGTTAATGAAAATGAAAACTTACCAGTTGTTATATCCGGCAAAACTGCTGTTTCACTCGTGGCTTTTAACTTAATCTGTAACAAAACAATTTAGTATATAAGTTTTTATTCATTGATATAAAGTTTGGCACTAATTCAATATTATCACAATTATTTGTCTGGATAGCCGAGTGGTTATAGTCTCGCTTTCAAAATAGAAGGTCGCTGGATGGATTCGAAGCGATATCACCACGTAGATGCATTTGTCATTTGGCTATTTATTATTGATGCTATCTAACAAAAATTTAGTTATAAGATAGTAAACATTCGTGTTTTGGGACATTTGCTTTAAAAAAAAAATAAAAAACACCACTGGCGTATATAAATATAAAAAAAACAGAAACATAAATAACAAAATAAAATTATTAAATATTTTAAAGGGGTAATAAATAACAATAGTTACGGAAAATATATCGTATTAAACAACTCATTACATAAACATAAAATTATGTAAAACAAAATACTGTAGCAATGGATAAAGTGGTATACCATACAAATATTATTTAATAGTTTTTAACAAGGACTCTCATGTTTTTAGTTGAATACGACCCTATTAATTAACTACAGAATTAATTTAAGAAATAAACATTATTCCAAATAATCTGCTTTAGATATTGTTTTATAAACCGTAATATATTTTGGGAGCTGAATATTTTGGTAACGGGTCGTGTATTAGTGTTGTGTGATAAGGCGTCTGATCAAAGGTTCAGCTCTGACATAATGAGATGGTGGCTTAGGCTCACAGAGGTATTTCAATATTACTTCATCAATCACATGGCTGAGCTCAGGCCCTTCTACCACGTTTAATCATAATGTGAGATAAGAAATTGCTTAATTGGTTAAATTTAACAATATGCCATAGGGTTGCAGTTTTAAAACGAGGAAACTTTAACTTGAAATACAGTTTGTGTGTCCTAGCTTCAAATCTTAGGACGCTATGGTTAAAAAAAAATTGTTTTCACATGACTTTAGGCTAGGCATAGAGGGGCATGAGGCACTACTAAGTACCTAAAAGCGTGATAAATTGGATTTTACCTGAAATTACGGAAACATCATACTGACCTCTACCACTAGACCAGCTCGCTCCATCAAACAAAATACCAGTAGAATAAAGATAAGCCAACAAGTAATTACGATTAGAAATTATTTTAACTACAATTGTATTAAAATTATGGTATAAGCTTTTCTAATCGAGTGTACCCGATGACAGGTGGAAGTAAAATTATTTAAGTTAGATGAAATAAAGCTTGAATGTAATAATACGTTTGAAATAACCAAAAAGTAATATTGTGGGCATTCTTATCCCACAACTAAATATTACGGATATTTTAAAGCTGATTTACTTGGTGTAATTACTTATATACCATTCGTCATACATATTCATTTACTTTGAATCAAAGTATTATTTGAGGTAAACGAGATTAGTAAAAATAATGCAATATATTCAGCATTTCAATGAACTGTCACTATGCATGTTAATCTGTCAGCTATCTAACGTAGCAGTGATTGTGCTGTCATTGCCATGTCGTAGTTAATCTCGTGTAGCAGACTACCTATAGTTTAGACGAGCCTGACAGTTAGTTTAATTCAGTGACCTTAGTGATTTTAAATTAATTTTTTTATTGAATTGGAAAAACATTTTTAACTTTATTTTTTTTTACTATGCAAAATAAAATCCGTTATAATAATAAAAAATGTAAAACTTTTATACGATTCCCAATATTTTGTTTACTTTATTTTTATTTTAGTTTCTCAATCAAAACTTAATTAATTTACCCTTTAGTAAAAACCAAAGATTACACATGCTACGCAAAATTTTGCGTAGCATGTGTAATCTTTGGTGAAACATATTTTCTCAGATTTCCGAAATGGTAACTGATTTTAATGTTTTTGTAAATTATATTCTTATTATGTCTTGTCGTTTACGATAACAAATGCACATCAACCGATATCAGCTTAAACAACATTGAATCATAAAGTGTTATTAGTGTGCAGAGCTAGTCATTAGCTGTGTACCGGTCAATAACTTGAACTAGACTAGAGTGATTAAGTGACAAGGACTGTTCAATTAGTTAAGTAAGATGAGACTATTTAATAGTCTTTAGCTTTGTATCAGCCACCACCATGTACAATACTGATTAGTACACATGTATATTATTTTAGTTTGGGTAATTAAAAGAACAACTATGATTTTCAATTTAAAAGTACATGTTTTCATAATTTGCTTGACAAAATTTTTTTTAAGGTTGGTATTTAAGCCTGGGTAATGAAACACTATTCACTTTGATTCAAAATACTAACTGTTGAGTACTACATTACTATAGTTCGGCCGCTTACAAAGCGACCTGCGAATCAATGCTAACCAATGCTTGCTAGAGGAGGTCGCTTTCTAAGCGGCCGAACAATAATACCTCCACACTCCCACTGGAGGAGTGAGCTGGTCTAGTAGTTAGAGCACGGGACTTCGGTACCTGAGGTCCCGGATTCAAATCCCACCAAATCAACAATGGATTTTATCCAAGTGATAATGCCTCAACCCCTAGGTCTAGCCTGAAGCAATGTGAAAACAATCCCGGGCACGTGCCTAGCGTCCTAGGAAAAAAATCTCTCTACACTCCAAGAGATTCAGTATACGATCAGAGTTTACAAATAATCACACATATTAAGTTGATATCCAAAATAATACACTGTTACTTAAGTCAGTTTATGAGGGATTCTTCCATTATTGGTTTATTTGTTAGCACGGCCAGTGACCTTAATAACTACACGTTTGGTCCAATGACGGTATTTCAAAATGGTTTTCTGCGTTCTCAAATAGTTTTCATGACCTACTTCATTTTACTATCGCCCAATACTATTTCACAGTCTTTATGAAATATAATGTGTTTGTATTCAATGTTATATGTTATAAGGTGTGTGATTTTACAAAATGTTATACTTGGGTAATATTTTGGGTATTCGCATTATACGAGTATCTTTGCCGATCGTATCTTTGCCAACGGACTCAAAGTGTACAATATCAAATGTACCTTTATAGGGTCTAAACGTATAATAGGTTATTGGTTAAATGTTAATAGGTAATAGGGGGTTTCAGACTTTAATGCTTGGCTTTACTATATTTTTAATTCTGAAGTCTTACCCTTAGAGCAAGCAAATGTATCATCGCACATTGAGAGAGCAAAACTCGTTATAATAGCTTGGGAATGACATCTTAATAGGTTTATATTTCATGTTGCCCCTGACATAGTTATTCTGCTCGGCACTTCTACTTGAATCACAATTCTCAATTCAGTTTCTTAATCTTTCTTCTGTTACTGAAAAGCCTAATTTAAAATATCATGAATTTATAAAACTTTGCATTCAACATTTTGTGATTTGTATGTAAGATTCTATAATGATAAGTTATAGCATATGTATGCGTACAATATGTGTACCACTAAGAAAATACTAATAATTTGTATTTCCAATTGTTTTTCTTACTGCGGGAATACTTATCCCGCACATCCTTCATTATATTTAATGTTATAGGTCTCCTACCTCATATAGAAATATAAGTTGTTACTAAAACGTGTTAGTAGCAAAAAATAGTAATAAAGTGCCACTACCTTCTTGGCCCTCCCTCCTGAACCACACCATAGTATCACAGATTGTAGTGGATTTGTCCTCAGCACTATCTGACTTTGTCACAAGTAATCACTGCTATTTGTCGTTTGTCAATGAGATTATTACCTTTACTCTAACCTATGAAAATCAATAATCAAGTGAGTCTGCTGCATTTAACTCTAGAGCGTTGATAAGTGTTATAATATTATGTTGGTAGAAAATACAAGCTAAAATATAAGCTAAATTTATAGGACAGTGGCAAACTTAATCAACAGTATGAATTCAGAAACCAAGCACACAACATCAAACATCAATTAACTAAATAAAAATGTAAATATTGATATATTGACGACGAACTTAGAACGTGTTTAATCTCACATAGTTTAGAATAATTTAAAGACCGTCACACTTAAGCCCATTATACTTAAGTTTTATTTATTTATTTATTTATTTTTTTTTTTTAAACAAACAGAAATACTACCTAGAACGATAAGAAACTGGTGCATTGAGGTTTATTTAAGTTGAAGGCTTCCTCTAAAACCAATAAAGAGTTTTTTTTTTTTTTTTTTTTTTTTTTTTTATTCATTGTTAAGCCCCTGAGCTGTGGATATTGTTGTAAGAATATATTACTTACGTCAATCAGCTCATTAAGTCGTGAGTTTCACCTCAGTAGATGTTTCGACACATTGTCATCATCAGCTGAGTTAGTACTTGTGAAGGTTTAATTCACCAGATGGCTTCGTCATGTTGAATAAATTAACACGTAACATGTAACACGAATACGACACGACACATATACATTTATAACACGTAAAACTTGAAGACATGCAGGCCTGCTCGAACAAAACATACGGTCACGCCGCGGGTCGGGGACAGACTGTTTGTCCCCGACCCGCGGCGTGACCGTATGTTTTGTTCGAGCAGGCCTGCATGTCTTCAAGTTTTACGTGTTATAAATGTATATGTGTCGTGTCGTATTCGTGTTACATGTTACGTGTTAATTTATTCAACATGACGAAGCCATCTGGTGAATTAAACCTTCACAAGTACTAACTCAGCTGATGATGACAATGTGTCGAAACATGTACTGAGGTGAAACTCACGACTTAATGAGCTGATTGACGTAAGTAATATATTCTTACAACAATAAAGAGTTACAAACGTTGGAGACAAATTGGAGTAAAGTGCGGCGACGTGACAGCTGTGAGGCGAGTGTGGCTGGGGTTGTACACTTGGTGGAACATATCGGAAAGGAAAATGTATAATGCAGAAACTAATTTAACAAATTTCCAATTGAAATTTACGTTTGTGTCTTGCAACATTTAATCTTATACGAGGAGACCTGTGAACAAATCGTGCAGTTTAATAGGGTCTAACACTTGTTTCCGAGGTAAAATGAATCCAGTACATAACCAAATTACCTTTGCAAAGAT